CGCAGTAGGTGGTGCGTGAGAGGCAACCACACATTGATGTTTCTCTCCCTCTCTCATTCCCGTCCCCTCTCTCTAAAAGTAAATAAATCAAATCTTTGAAAAAGAAAGAAAGAAAATGTTCAAGCCATCTCACAATGATAAGAATTTCCCATGTCTTTTGATTCTCAGGCTAGTACTCTTTCTCTAAACATTCTACTTCTTTTTTAAATTTTTTAATTAATTAATTAATTATTTCAAATACATTTGTCTCTGCCTTCCCCCACCACCTCCTCTGACCCCTCCCCTCTCCCTCCCTCAATCCTTCCCCTTTGGTTTTGTCCATGAGTCCTTGCTATATGTTTCTTGACTTTCCCCTTCCCTTCCTTTTCCCCTGCCCACCCCTCCCTCCTTCCCTCTTATCTCTGTTGGTTTCTTTTCCTTTCAGTGTTGCTGGTCTTATTTTCCTTGCATCTTTAAACCCTCTACTTCTCATCACACAAACAAAATCATATTCTAGCCAGGATCACCACCCAACCACTTACTATTTTCTCCACCCCCACCTTCCTGGCCATGGTTGAAAGCTGACCTGCATTGGGCCATTTCTTCCAATTGAACAAACTTCAACAACTTGTCCTTCTTCTTGCCCAGCTATGCTAAGTCACGCTCTCCAGAGATTCCAAACCTCACTGATGGTATTTTTTACTCTGCCTTCCTTCTTGTGACAAACCACCTTCATACTTACTTCAACTGAGTCAATTAGGGGCCTGGGCAGAGGATCTCTTGTTGGAGACACTATTGAATTCCATGGAAAACTCAACCTGGGCTCTTCTGCCACCATCCTAAAAGGGCTGGAGCAGGAGCTGCCCCTCTGGGAGGTGGGAGGTCTTTCCCCCAAAGAATTCAAGGTATCTCACCAACATTCTGTCAAAGCCCAGATAGAGATAGGAAGTACAAAAGTATTTAACCCAGCTTGGGTAGGAAAAGGGGTCCAAGGAATGTTTCAAACAGAGGAGTCCTGAAGGATGGCTAGCAATTAGTCAGGGAAATGGTGGATGGTAGAACAGCATGCTTAAGGGCTTGGAGACATAGAAAAGCAAATTCAGAGAAATACATGTTTTCACATATGGCTGGAGTATATGTACGATGTGTGTGTGTGTGTGTCTTGAAGCTGGGAGGAAAAGCAGGAGTCATACAACAGAGGGCTTTCTTGGACTTCTGGGCTAGAGAGTTTGAACTTTATCCCGAAAACAAGTAATAGATACTGAAGTATTTTTAAGCATAGCAAAGAGGTGGGGTGGCACCTATGATTTTCATTTTAGGAAGCTCCTTGACTACTGGATGAACAATTGGTTACAGAAGTAAGGCAAAAGTGGAATTAGAGATACCAATTTGTGGCGTCTATGAGATTTCCAAATGGACAAGAGATAATAGTTGCATCATTTGAACTAAAGTTTAGGCAATGGAGATGGCAAAAAAGTGGATTTATTCAGGATGTATTTTGACAGTAGATCAGATAGCACTTCATAAGTAACTATATGTCAAAAATAGGTGAGGAATCAAGGATGACTGGTTTGGGTTATTGAATGAGTGATGGTCCTATTGAAATAGAGAACATTATGCAAGGATTTGGGGTGTACAGAGAGAAGAGGGCAGATGATTCAGCATTTCAGTTATTGAGTTTGAGGTGTCATTAAAACATTCAGATGGGATCATTCCATTTTAAATGCAGATTAATATGCAAATCTTGAGTTCAGTAGTGAGATCTGTGCTAGCGGTCTACACCTAGAAATCATTGCCATAGTGACAGTGGATGAGGTCACCCATGGAGAATGTGAAGAATAAAAAATCTAGAAGTCTTGATGAAACTTCGGGTGGAATAGTCAGATTTATAAAATGGGCAGAAGAAGAAGAACTTATGAAGGAGAACTAGGAGAATCATTTTGAGGTGCAGGGAAAGCTGAGAGTGGTGTTATAGAAGACACGGGAGAAGACGGTTTTATGAAGGAGAGGGGCAAGGTGAGATGACAGAGATATGACCATTGGATTTTGGGATTAGAAAATTGTTGGTAATCTTAGTGAGAATAATTTTGATGCAGGCCTAATGGCAAATGCAAGACTGCAGAGGGTTGAGAAGTGAGTGGGAGAGGGAAGAAGTAGAAACATCAGTATTAAATGGCTTGTTTAAGAATCTTGGCTGCAAAGAGAATGCTATGGATAAGGTAATACCTGCAAGAGTAAAGAGAGAGTAGCTCAAAAAGAGTGAGTATTTGAAGTAGTCACCTGGAGATGTTCACCAGGGAGATACAGAAGGACTTCCAGGCAGCACTGAGGGCCCAGTGGGATGCACAGTGAGGATCAGGAATTGTGCCCCATTTAGCAATAAGAAAACAAATGCCTAGAAAGAACTAGCACAGGGTCATAGCTGGTAAGTAACAGAGCTGAGATTCAAACTAAATTTCCCTTCCCCCCTTCTATCATATGTTTATTGGCCCTTGCTCTGTACTGCTTCAAGGTTGTGCATCAACATTGGCATTGTCATATCCATCATGGATGAATATCATTAACTATCAATTGTGTGCCCAATGTTGCAGAAGCACAACAGAAGTGTAATACATGGTTTCCTCCCTCAAATTGTGTAGAGTTTGGTTGAAGAGACAAGATATTCAACAAATGTATATATAACATATAAAATGGTGAAACTTTTTTATTTTTCTCTGTCTCTCTTTTTGTCTGCATTGCTCTCTTTGTCTCTCTGTCACCACTCTGGGTGTTCTAAGGCACCTGAGATACAGAGGTGAATAAGATACAGTTCTTGACTTAAAGTAGCTCACAGAGTAGTGGGGAAGAATAAGAATTTCAACAAGAAATTTAAACAATTTCTTCATCTGTATAATAGGGGTTTCGGTACCACAGAGCATTTCTGTGATATTAAATGAGTTAACATTTGTGAAGTGCTTATAATGGTCACACAGGAAACACTACATAAGTGTTACTATTATGCTTATTACTATGGCGGAAGTAAACACATGATATTGTAAGAACATGGAAGAGGGACACTTGATCCTGGCTAAAGTAGAGACATCTGAGCTGAATGCTAAAGCATGAGAAGGAGGTAAACAGATGGAGAAGAATGCCGGCCATTCTGCATAGAAGGAACAACCTGTGTTCAGGTTTGTAGGCAAAAGACAACATGATCTGATTGAGGAACTGAAACTAATTTAGTTCAGCCAGAGTACAGAGTAAGAGGAAGGGAATGAAGAGATGAAGCTTGAGAGGTCATACAATACAAATAAGTTTGGACTTTATTCTTTATGTGGTGGGGAGCCACTGGAATGTTTTATGTAGAGTATTGACTTGATCAGATTAATGTGTTGAAAGATCACCTTAGCAACAGCATGTGGAGAATGAATTGAAAGATGCGAGATTGAAATCAAAACTAGTTAGGAAGTTATTGCTATAGTCCAGGGGAGAGAGAATGAAGAAGTCCTGAACTGGGACAGTAGCAATGGGGATGGAGAGATGGATACCGGATCTGAGGTATAGTCAAGAGGTAGACTTGGTGAGACAATGACAATACAGTGTGAGGGATAAGTGTGAGAGAGGTGTAAAATATCACACCCAGGATTTTTGTTGAGCACAGGGGGATGGATAAAGACATCATTCTATATCCATAGGTAACCCAGGGAAGAACTGTTTGGGGAGGGGTGCAATGGAAGAAGTGATGGTTTCTCTTTTAAATACATTGAATTTGAGGTGCCTATGAGACTTCTGGCTGAATATTTTAAATAGGTAATTGTTTTGGCAGTCTCGAAGCTCGGGGAGAAGGTCTATGCTGTAAATGCAGATTGGGGAATGCCAGTGGATGGGCATAAGATTGTCATGGGGGGTGCATAAGTGTGCTCAGGGACAGAGTGTTGATTGAGAAAAAGGATGAACTTCTGAAGAAAAGTCACATTTAAGAGACGGGTAGGATAAGAAGAAATTTTGAGGATGAATAAATGAAATAGCCAGATTATGGTGGGTTGAAAAGTTAGTGGGCTGGAGGTTCTTATAGAATATGGGAGAAAGAATGTGTCCTTGACCCTTAGTGTCTTGAACCCTGGAAAGAGTAGGGTCTCCTTGAACACTGCAAAATCATGGACAGCCCTGAGATTGTAAAGGATTTGTTTAGATGTTTCCTCCTTACAAAGCCCTCTATTCAGCTTCCCTTTCCTCTGTCCACCCTAACAGGGAGCTTCAGTGCTCCATCCAGGCCCTAGAATAACCTTTGCTCCAGAGTCCTCCCCCATCATCTGAGAGGGCAAGGACTGCTGCGGCCATCTGTTAGGAGAGCAGATGGGAAATGTCTGGGTGTATTATATATGCAGGAGGCTTTAGGATAGCTTGTGGAAGGGGATTTGGGCAGGTCCTGGAAGACCTGAACTCTCAGAGTATAGACAGAAGACTATTGCCTGCCCCAACCTGCCCTGGAATAGATTTTCATCATGGGCAGAGACCAGAGCTAAGCCACTGCTTTCTAGGCCCTTGAAAATTCAAGAGGCCTCTAATAACCTGAAGCACAAGGTTATATCCTAGGACCTGTTCCTCCTGATCAGTATCCTGGAGTATGTCCTCAGCCTGTAACTGAGAGGCTCTGTGGCACTGTTGCTGGGCAATGTGTTAAACAGAAGGCCTTGAAGTGGAACTGTGCCAGCCAACAGCCTAACCTGGAATTAACATGGCCACCATAACTGCCACTGCCATCACTACCTTCTCAGAAAGCAGCCACCTGCCTGGCCCCTGATTTTGTCTGGCTGCCAATCCAAGTCATGTGCTTATGTGGGAGGTGATGAAAGTTTGGATCCACTTTCAAAGTTGTTTTTTTTTTTATTTTCTCATGTGTTATTTCTGAAGATAACAAAGGTCAAAAGGCACCCAGCATTTTCTGGTTTCTCATAAGCTTCTGGTCAATATTTAATCTGGTTTATGGATTTTTTAGGTCTTCTAGATGCCTTCTTGAGCCTGCTTGTGGCCACTCACAGACACTTGTAAGGAGAAGAGAAGTCAGTGTATCAGAGACACTCTGAAATGAGGAAATAGAAGCTTGGATTGAAGGAGGAAGAGCTGCAGCCAGAACACAAGAGAGCAAGCCCTGAAGATAATTCTACTGAGAGGTCTGACATGGCCTCTCTTGGCATCCAACTTATAGGCTATATCCTTGGCCTTCTGGGGCTGTTGGGCACCTTGGTGGCCATGCTACTTCCCACCTGGCGAACGAGTTCTTATGTCGGTGCCAGCATTGTGACAGCAGTTGGCTTCTCCAAAGGCCTCTGGATGGAGTGTGCCACACACAGCACAGGCATCACCCAGTGTGACATCTACAGCACACTTCTAGGCCTGCCCCCTGACATCCAGGCTGCACAGGCCATGATGGTGACATCCAGTGCAATCTCCTCTTTGGCCTGCATTATCTCTGTGGTGGGCATGAAATGCACGGTCTTCTGCCAGGATTCGAGAGCCAAAGACAGAGTGGCGATAGTGGGCGGAGTCTTCTTCATCCTCGGAGGTCTCCTGAGTTTCATCCCCGTTGCCTGGAATCTTCATGGGATTTTGCGAGATTTCTACTCTCCACTGGTGCCTGACAGCATGAAATTTGAAATCGGAGAGGCTCTTTACCTGGGCATTATTTCTTCCCTGTTTTCCCTGGTAGCTGGAGTCATCCTCTGCTTTTCTTGCTCACCCCAGGGAAATCGCTCCAACTACTTTGATACCTACCAGGCTCAGCCTCTTGCTACTACTAGGAGCTCTCCAAGACCTGGTCAACTGCCCAAAGTCAAGAATGAGTTTAACTCCTACAGCCTGACAGGGTATGTGTGAAGAACCAGGGGCCAGAGCTGGGGGTGGTGGTGGCTGGGTATGTGAAAAACAGTGGACAGCCCCCGCCCAGGGACACAGGTGAGGGACATTCCTACTGGATCATGTCAGAAGGTGCTGCTGAGGATAGACTGACTTTGGCCACGGGATCAAGATAAGGAAAAAAATGGGTTCTGGTGTGACAGTGTCCAGGTTGAACTGTCAAGAGGCATACCAACCAGCCTTTCTGTTTCCTTCACCTTGGTCTCCCACCCCACACCCTGAGTCCCCCAATGCTCAACTCCAAACCCACTCCCCTCCTCTAGGCCAGACTCCACAGGCTCCCCTCTGTCATTTATTTTACTTGTTAATGCATCCATAAACCCACTAATTGCATCCCACAGGCTGACCCTTTCTGTGATTAAAGACCCTCTGGCTGAGGTTGGTTCTCAGTTCATTGCTGGGAGTTGGCAGAAGGAGGAGTAGTGGCTTTTATGAAGATGGCTCTAACCTCCTTCTCAAGCTTCCCTACAAATAAACTGATTGGCCACTAATGGGCCTTGGAGCTTCCACTCCACTCTTTTTATGATTATACAGGGTCCAGTCTGATTTGTGCATGAACAGAAATAGAGCCATCCCACTGTACTGAGGGAACAGAGAGCAACTAGATGTAGGATGACAGGGAGGGAAGGTAGCTGAGGATCCCAAATACTAGAACCACTGCCTAGAGCAATCCTCAGAATTCCTTCACACTTGTGGATTAGGGATCTAGCCCACAGCTAGAGGGAAGCACAAAGAAAGAAGATATGGTGGAAAGCTCTAGGCATCAGCAGACTCTTACTCCACTGAGGGACTGCCTCAAAAACCACTGCTCCAACTTTCACTAAAGTTCTTGCCTCCCTCTGGGGCACCTGACCTGGCCTCCTGCTAAACAACAAGGCTAAGATCCCTGAAAAGCTATTTCTTTAGGAATGGGAAATTAGCTTTTCTAGAGATGGCCCTTGGCTGGGATGACAGTATGGGAGCTGTGGAGGACTGCAAAATATCACTTCTTGATGCTGCTGCCCAAGGAATAATAAGAAGCTTGGTATCTAAGAAGATGAGTGGACATGTGTGGTCTCTAGTAGGTGTTTCTATTGGGCCAGAGAGAGTCAGATCCCCAGAGAGTGTACAAACATAATAGAAAATCAGCCCAAAGGCTGAGATCAGCCCCCGGGGGTCTACCCACAGAGCACACTGCAGAGCCTCTGAAAAACCACAGCACAAGGTGGGCCTTCTGTTACCCTTTATATTCCCCCACATCCTTCACCAGACATTCCAAAGTTGCTAAAAGGCATCCAAGGGCTCCGACGTGGAATAATTAGGCCCAAGGCATTTTGGCCATGATCTGAGTGATAGCTGAGCTGCTCCCTGGGATTGCAGGTGAGGTGGGAAAATACAGAATGGTTCCCAGGCAGACAGTTCCAGCTCCAAGACCTGAAAATGCTCCATTTCTCCTGTAGTGGAGTAATAACAAACCAAAGGCATTTTCTCTCACCAGCCTAAGCATGGCCAACTTCTGACAAACTCCAGGACACCTCCTCAAACTTCAGTGTCAGCAGAAGGGGCTCATTGTTTGTCTCTAGCATGCCTTGCATGTTTTCTACTTCCTTGCCTATGTTTTAGATACTCTTCCATACTGGAAAGCCCTATCCCTTTTGCCAAGTTTTTCTCATGCTTGAACAACTTGCTCAGCACCACCTCCTTCACTGAGCCTCCTTTGACCACTCCATCCCCCTCCTACTCCTCCCTCAATGTACAAATCACTTCTTTAATGCTTATTATTCATAATTTTAATGCAAAGTTTTATTTTCATGTATGAATATATGATTTTAAAAGTGCATTGTAAACTTCTGGGGGGTAGGGACCATGTCTTAGACCTCTATGTATCCTCAAGACTTACAGATAAAGACATTCTGTAAGAGTGCTTGACATATAGTAGATAATCAATAAACATTTGTTGATTGAATAACTGTTTTATGCATTCAAAGGGGCCCATACAGGGCAGGTGTGATGGAAAAAATTGGGCTAAGGGGAAGATAGGATGGAAACTGATCTTTCTTCCCACCTGGTTGGATAGGAAATTCTAGACTTTGTGAAGATATTAGAAAGATACTCCTCATCCCCAGAGAAACTTTAATCTTTTCATCTTGTCCAAGGCTCCTCCTTTCCACAATAATTGTTTCATTTAAGTTATTTACTAAATTTGCTATATATTTATTCCTTTCATTTCCTGAATCACCATTGTAAGAAAGGTGAAATTGATCTGGTAATCTCCATTTTGCAGATGGGAAAACTAAGGCCCACATAAGTAATGAGATTTACCCAGGGTCACATAGCTGGTGTTAGTGCCCTGGTCTCCTGATTCCCAAAATAGGACTCTGTACATCCAACAATATTCACAGACAATTGAAAGAACCTGCCAGAGGTCCCCAAGATGCCCAAGATAAACAACTTATGGCCAGCAAGGTAACACTGGGAACACATAGGTTCTCCTAGTCTCCTGTGAGGGGCTTCTGAGTATACCATGTGGTACTGCCCCTCCTGCCATGCTGGCCTGGACCCAGCTAACTGTCTCATCAGGGGAAATGCCAAGCTTATATTTGAATAGGTCACAATGCCTCAATTCCAATTTCCCTAACTCTGTAGGTGTGGGAGTTTGGGAAGCCAATGATTTGGCCCTGTTTCAAACTCACTTGGCATTAACAAAGCCTAATTCATGAAGATATTACCAGTGGCAACACTGACCATAATGGGGCCTTACAAGAGTTAGCTTACCCAGCCCCTGGATTTAGTAGGCCTCAGCGCACAGTGGCCTGTAATATAGGAACTACTATCATTGCACTCCTGAAATGGGCCTTCCTTGGTGCAGAGGCTAGGACCCCAACATCCAAACCCATTTAGAAGGAATGGCTGCAGGCAGGAATAAGGGTAGAGAGAGGGTGCTCTATGAAAACAAGTTTAATATGAGGTAATGTCTCTGGTATGGCACCAGGAATCTAAGTGTCCTTGATTGGGGGCTACTGGAGGTTAGAAGATGGTGTAGCCTTGCTGACTGTGCTATGCTGAGTGGGCAGCTGTCTAGTATGGTCTCCTATGCCTCACCACCTGCACCCAAAACACTTTCCGGTCCACCAATTTCATTGCATACTCCAAATATCCCAATGAAACATGGTTTTTACAGGAAACAATATCTAGGCCTAGAGAGGTAACTTCCCTATAGTAACAGAGTGTCAGAGACTGACTGTAAGCTTGGAAACCTTCCTTAGGGTCTGAAATTCTGACCAGAAGATATAAGAGCATCTAGTGCTCTTCAGATTCCTGCAGCCCTCCTGCCCCTGACTGCTGCTGGAATCTAAGTACCTTTAAGGGAAATAGGGCACAGACCTTCCCTTCATCTCAGGAAGAGGCTGAACTGGGAGGCCCTCCTTCCTTTTTTTTTTTTTTTAATAAGAGTGTATTGGAGCTAAACCAATGAGATATGAGAGGGACAAAGATCTCAGGCGCTGTTCCTCTTTCCTTTTTTTTTTTTAAATCTGTACAGAGCTCGTGTGTGTGTGTGTGTGTGTGTGTGTGTGTGTGTGTTTACACTTATCATGCCATGATTCATAAGGAATGGGTTCCAGCAGCTCAGGCTCCTTTCCATTGATTCTCACAAAGTGTGCTTTTCTGGGTGGAGCAGGCTGATTGTTCAGTGGAACCCAGGTACCTTTCTCTTTGGCTTCCTTATTTTTCTGATCATGTTCCTTCACACATTTCAGGAAGCTATCTGGGCTCTTAGAGTGCTTAATATGTTCAATATGTACATTAATTCTCTTGGCAAGAATCTTGCCCTTAACTTGTTTATTCAGAACAGTGTCCACTGCATGCTGGTTGACAATTGTAGACTCTTCCAGTTTTGCCATGGTAGCCTTATGGGTATTCCTTTTTGAACAGTGCTCATTCCTTTGAGTCTACACTGCCACATTTCTTCTAGATTCATATGTATGGGGCCAAAGGGACAACTCCATGTTTTCTCAAAGGCCTAGAGAACATATAGCAGGTGCCTCTCTTGTTTCCCTTTGTGTTAGCCATTTTCTTGGTGAATTACTGGAAGATGGCAGTTCAGGATGAAAAGAAGATTCCTCCTTCCTTTTAATCTGGGAGGATTCTATGGAAGGAGTTAGAAATTCACCCTCAACTAGAGAAACTAGGATAGACCCAATAAAGAGCAACTCGTTGAGCAAGAAAAACCTTTGACTGGTTTTCCCTTTGGCTTGTTAAGCAAGAAAAGCCTTGATCTAAATAATTTCTTAGAAATCTATTTGAGTCTTGGTCCATGTTGAACAGCTTTTAGCTTAACCCCATTGCCTTGCATCATAAAATAATTTAGATTAGCTGTAGACCAAGGGGATAGTGAAGGTCATTGTGTTTACGCTTCAGCCTAATGGCTCTGACCCTTGCACAAGGAGAGATGTTTCTGCCCTCCTTCATTCCTTGATAATAGGGTGATTCATGTTTTCTCCCCCTTGGGGCTCTTCTGATGAACCCACAGCTATGTGATCATTAATGTAAAGGTGGAGGCTAAAACTGATTTCTTGGTGGAAAGGTAAGTTCCAATTTTTTGTGAGACCTTTACCCAGCCAGTTAAACATTCATTCAACTAGCTCTCTAGCCAGCCCGCCCACACCAACTGCACTCTTAGTCTGTGTCAGGCAGTGTGTGCTTTGAAGGCTACCAGGGTGAACACTGGTAGTCTGTGCCTTATAGGAGCTGATAGTTGATCTAGGGAAAATAAGACATGCACACCTAGGTGTGGTCTAAGACACAAAATACCCTGTCTTGTGAGGAGAAAGTGCTTTAAATTTAGGCATCAGGGGATAGTTAAAAAAAGTATGTAAGTCACCTCAAAGCCCAATCCATATGAAATGAGGCTGTGGCACTATTTGAGATTCTAGAGTAATAATGATAAAAAGAAAATGCTTCTCCAGTTGAAGGACCATAGGAAATAGAGAAATAGGGTAGAGAGCAGTGCTAAGAAAGAAACAGGGAAAGACTACTCAGCTAATCCAGAACACCTTTGAGTTTATCTCACAAGACCCTTAAATGGCTTTAATGGAAAGAGTGACCCCAGGGCTCAGCCTCCCCTGCCCCAGTTTCCTTTTCTTGGGCAGGTCTGTGAAAATTGCTGGAGGCAGCCGAGATAGTGTCCATCCAAGTAAGCTGAGACACTTTGGCTCTGGACCAGAGGAGAAACACAGGTGTGGGATAAGGGGCCCAGTGGTAAAGGAAGGCACATGAGGCCTTACAGAGTTAACAGTTCCCTCTCACTCAGTCCCCGGCCACAGACAGGTGATTTTTTCCATGCCTTCAGCTGCCCAGTCTGGGACATTGAGACCCCAGGCTGGGAAGTGCCTGTGTTCCTCCTCAGCTGGCTGAAGCCTGGCCTCCACCCAACCTGTTGTCTTTGCCCAGGCAACTTCTAGATTTGATGAGAAATTCTGTAATCTCAACAGGAGTGGGGGTGAGAAAGGGGGTGTGGGGATACTGAAACAGGAAGTCCAGCAAATTACCTCTCCTTTCCCTGAAGTGGTGGATCACTGCGTGCTATGATGTGGCCACTGATAAAATATTAACAGGCTGTTATCAAGCACAGCAATACAGAAGGTATAATCTGACCACCCCTACCACTTTTTTCTTGGAATTGCAGCTCAGGAATTCTTCTTTAACTCTTGCCTACCATTCCTTGCTCTGTGCCTAATTCCTACATAAAATAAGCCTTAGGGCTTGACAAAGAAGAAGGTAATCATACAAAGGCAAATCATCAGGCTTTGCTTTCCTGTCATCCATAAAGTCCCATTCCTCCACAACAGCACCCTTACCACTTGTCAAAGTCACTTCATAGGAGAGTTTTGAAGAATTTCCTATCTACAAGCATGGTCTTGTACAAATAACATAGAGAAAACACAAATGTTTTCAAAAAGGTATTAGAAAATATAATTGGATGTGAAACTAGATGCCAAATAAGTATGAGTACTGTGGCAGGCAACCCAGCATTTCAATGGTAACTCCTTTTCTCCAATAGCACTTTCAGAGTCTGTAATATTTGATGAGGTTCTGTTGGGTTGTTCAGGAGAAAGGCCAGTCAAACCAAAAAATACAAAGAGAAGATGCTCCTCATAGCCTTTCATTTGAATTTATTTCTGAAATTACACAATGGGATGCAACAGGGTGTATCATCATCCTCTACAAAGGATATCTGATGATATTGTGAAGACCTTACTCCATTGAGTTAAAGGCACTGAATGCCTTGGTTAAAAAGTAAGTATATTTTATGGGAAGAGAAACACATTCAGACAACGGTTAGTCACAAAAACTACAATTTGCACTCATTTCTCAGTTTAGCCCTAAAAGCAGCTAGAATTAGATGAGACCAATGAGTTTAAAATAAAAACACTGACTCAGAGACAATACTTATTGGAATTTGGGGGAGCAGGAGACTTCCCTGAGTAACACATGCACTCTTCAACTAAAAGATTCAACAGTAGAAACAAACAAAAAAAGGCAGATAAGGTGAGAAAGGCAGCACCATCTTTCTCTTTGCAATTCCCAAGGCAGCTCATGTGGTTAATTATACTCATCTGTGTGTAATAATAAACCAGTATGTTCTCAAGTGTCACTCCTCAAGAGACTTGATTAACTCAGCACTCTTGTGATGGGGGTTGTGGTGTAGGGGGGCGCAAAGGAGCCAGTGAGAACACTACAAGGCAGAGGACAACAAGTCCAAGACCTCCTGATGGCTGTTTTGATTCAGGAAAGCTGCCAAGTGACAGCCCTGAGTGAAAAACCCAGTCAAGAGGAAATGAATGTCTCTGTTGTGTGGAGAGATATTTATTACATAAGTGAACAATTCCCTGATCATGAGGGCAGTTACACATTGTGTGGGATTCTAGAACTTTCTTTCTTGGAAATTCAATG